AAACACATTGTCATTCTCGCCTCACTCCCCTGAATTTCGCTCGCCACTCTCAATTCTCTCCCTCACTTCTCACTTTTATACAAACACAAATGTATAAATTGTGTTTGTGTTTGTATAAAGCGAGAGAGACTGTATATACAAATACAAATACATATCTCTCTGTCCTATACACTTATAATTATACTAATACAACTCTCCCCCTGCGCAGTTCTCTTTTGCCTTTCTCTCTCTCGCTTTATACCACAAATTATACAAATACAATGCACAATTTATGTTTGTATAAAGCGAGATAGATTTGATATACAAATACAAATGTTTTAACTCGATTCAATTGTATACAAATTCAAATTTTATGTTGATACATATACATAATAGTTACATATATACAATTATCTAACTGATATACATATACAATTCACCTCTCTCCACTCTCTGCCCTGCAAACTTGTAGTTATAGAGCGCTAATATGATTTATGATTGTTACTCCTAAAATTTACTCATAGAAATGTAGAAAATAAGTTCTATAAGTGACATTCTGTTTATTCTATCCTCCTTACCCATCCATTTCCCCTTGACCATCCCATCCCTGCCATCCCAAGGCCCCAATCCCCAATCCCCTTCCCCCCTCCCCCCTCATCCTTATAGGGTTTTATTAGATTATATAAATATATATATATATATATATATGCTTTTAAGGTACATTTTACTCTCTTACATATCAAATACTAAAATATAAGTAACAAACCAACTTACTTTCTAAGAAAATATTTTCCATGAAAAATATTCTCCTTCGTACCAGACACACATGACTTATTTTCCTAAAAAAAAACCTTTTTCAACAATTCCAAAACATTTTCCCGGGAACCAACCACAACCTAATAATCAAATACACATTTAGTTTGTGATTAATGCTATCTATTTTTGTCCTTTTTTTAAATTTTCCACTCAATAATTGATATATTTGTTGGAGTCCGACAAATTCGGATTCACACATTGTCGGTCCCATTTCTAGGATGTATGCTCCTAATTGAATCATTTTCATTCCCAAGATTTGAACCCAAAACATTTGATTGAATATGAAGGAAACTCAACCATCCCACCACAACCCAAGTCGGTTATCAAGGATGTAATGTAATGTACAATGCAAGATTGATAATAACATCTTACTCTTGGTTGACCTTAAACTCTGGATATTTGTGTTGATAGTAAGTGCCAATCTCTGCAGTAGAAACAAATGAGCTAGCACACAAGAAACGGCCATTCAGAGAACCAACATTATTCATGAAGAACAAATGAGCTTCACATACATCTTCAATATGCACTATTGGAACTTTTCCAATAAGTTCCTCTAAAAACTTGAGTTTATTGTACAAATTCTCCTCTTGAGTGAACACTGACAAGAACATAGCAAAAGTTGTTGGGATAGAAGGTAAGTAAGTGTGTCCACCTACAAGGCCACAACATAATGTAACCACCTCCAAACCTTCCTTCTAAGACTTCAATATCTCTTTCTCTACTAGCATTTTTGACTCTGTATTGCCCTATAAATAAATAACCAAAATTTATGTTTTATGCAAGTTTCACACTGTAACTATATATCGGTTGTTCATTTTCTCTACCTGAATTATCACTACTTACGTATTAGTAAAATATACTTTGAAGCTGACTAGGATAATAATTTGTTCCATTTTCCTACCTGAACTATCAAGATCTACTCAACTAGGTGTGTTTTAGTATATATATATATATATATATATATATATATATATGGATGGTAATATACTCTTATATATTTATTAGTATTAATTAACTTTGGAATAAATGGTAAGTAATCTAGTATATCCACTTATATTATTAGAGTTTTTTACTAAAATCATCCCTGAAGTGTGACTTAAACCTAAAATACATCCTTGTGTATATAAGTGAACAAAACATCCTTGCATTATCCAAAAAATTGCAAGATATCCTTCTGTCTATTTTTTTTTAAGAAACTCATGTCACCAACAAAAAAATGTGTCAAGTTGAATGAATATATGTACACATGGTTAAGCTAGTCAGTCGGGTGATTTTTCTAATTTTTACAAATTGAGGATTTAAATCATAATCATACATTCAAATTCTTAATATTCTTTGTAAAAAGTATGGCCAATAATACAACCTCAGCTTCAAAAATTTCAAATAAAGTAATTATTTTTTTTATTTTCATAACTAAACGCCTATGTAATTTTTCACTAAATTTCCAGCATTTCTGTACATTGTATAAAATGTGAATTGCATTGTGCATATAACGTACATACGTACTAAATATTTATTAAAGAAAATATTTAAATAGTTGGACGTAATATTTTTAAAATGATTTTTTTTACATAATCTTTCTAACCATCGGAACCTACTGTATAAATATTTCAAAACTTACGTATTGTTGCAAGTCAATTTAATTGATGATGCAAAAAATATATAAACTAACAACACACAAAATTTAAATTGTGAGAAAGAAAGATTCATTTCCTATCTATATCCTTATTCTTTTTAGGTAATTTTGATCTTCTCGTCGTGGCTAAGACATGATGTAACGACCTAATTTCCTTCGTTAGGGAAAAGTCAATGGAGAAAGAATTGGGGTCATAAAACTTTTGGTAGTAACTTGGAATTTCCTAATCTAGTCCAGATTTGGACGAAATCGGAGTTAGTAAAGTCTAGGGAAATATGGTAACAACTGGGTGATTTAATTATAATTTTGATTACATGAATAGATAGCTAAGATGTTAAGGAAGTCGTACGACTTTACGAAATTGAATTCGGGCGAGTAGAGCTCTCGAAAATGATCTTACCTTGAATGAGTGGTTTTTGAATGTCAAGGGTTGAAGGTGTGTTGTGAAATGGTGGCTTGGAATTCAAATTCCAGCATTCTGTCTCTGTGCATGCCGCTATAGCGGGATGGGTCACGCCGTAGCGGGACAAACGCGACTTAAATCGAAAATAAAACCCCAAAAATGTTTATTCTGCACTTTTCAACTTTGAGAGCTAAGGAACGACCCCAGGGGATTTCTTGACAGTTTTCCACCATTCTTGAGGCTAAAGGTAAGGTTTTCACTCCCCGAATCAATTTTTTGATCTGTAGAACTTAGTTTCTTGGGGGATTATTGTTTAGGAAAGGTTTTGGAACTATTTGGATGGTGGGAAAAAACCTTAATCTGGGTATGGGGATCAAGGTTTGACATAGGGTTAATATTATTGATTATGATCCAGGTAATTGGGTCTTGATTGTTGATCCTTGTGTATAAATTGTTGTTTGTAGACTTAGAACAATCGGAAAGAATCCTGAAAGGGAAGATTTAAGTGCCTTAGGGGATTCAAGATTGGATTCGAGGTAGGTGATGGTTGTGATTTCATGTTGGTGTGATATATGTTTGTAATTGTTCATTATAATGCATGTATGTATGCGAATGTTGCATTATTGATCACCCTAATCGTAAATGAGGATAATTGAATAATTGTATGTCATGAATCACCTCTTGTTGTATGATTGTGAGAATATAAATGGTGATTGTAATTGTGGTTTGTTGATTGGATCGGTTGCCACGTTCCGGCATAAATATGGGATCGGTTGCCACGTTCCGGCATAAATATGAGATCGATTGCCACATTCTGGCATAAACATTGGATCGGGTACCACATTTCGGTATGCTAACAGTTTAAGTGTGGGTTCCATGAGAGCACCATTGAAGTGGGTTCTGTGAGAGGACCATTGAATTGTGTTGTGTATCTACTTGTGATGATTACATTCATATCTAATGATGATTGATATTGGAAGACTGTATGTTGCTCTAAATTGATAACTAATGTGTATTATTGAGAATGTGGGATGCTACATTGATCTTGAAAAGATGACTAATATTTTGTATATGTTCGGTATATGCATGTTTTATAATGTTGTGGTTACTTACATGCGTTTCACTTATTGGTATAGCCGCGTGATTCTACCAATACACTATGGTTATGTACTGATACTTCACTTGCTTGTTCTTTGTTGAGTACAAGGCATCTTTAGGCGGCTATTGATAGACCTCAGCTAGGTGACTATTGAGCATGACCGGTTTCAATGGTGAGTCATTTCTTTCGGGCTGTCATGGATCTTTCTTGTTTAAGTCCACTCTTTTCGGACTCAGACTATTGTTTAAGGTGTTTGTTTAGTTTTGGGGTTGTACCTCTTGTTCTTAGACTTGTTGTTAGTAGAGTTTTGGTACAATGACTTTCAGGTTCTAGGGGTAGTTCTTCCGCATTAGTTTGGTTAGTTGTTTGTTAAAACCTTGGAGTTTATGGGGACTCCATTTTTATTGTCTTTTAAACATGCTTCCGTATATTTAAATGCCTTAGTTTTCATAAATTTTGTTAGTTTGGGTTGTAGTAATGGTTCTCCCATCGGAGGGTTAGTGTGGGTGTCAATCACGATGGTCTGGATCGTGACACATGACCAAATAAAAAAAAAAAAAAATTTATTGGTTCTATTAGTTTCTTAACAAAAAATAGACTGAAGGATGTTTCTTGTTATTTTTTGGATAGTATAAGGATATATTTTGCTCACTTAGATAATATAAGGATGTAAGTTAGATTTGAGTCATAGTTAATGGATGATTTTAGCCAAAAACTTATATTATTACATGAAAGTTTAAAACAAATGAGAAAAATGGGTTTAAAAGTGAAACAGTGACCTCAAGAAATTGGAGATTACTTGGATTCATTGTAGGAGGGTAATGGAAATACTTTCTCCATTTTAATTTGTTTGGCCTATTTTGAATTTAATATCGAATTTTAAGAAAATAATTTTTTTTTGAATCTTGCGATATTAAATTAAACATATGTCAATATTAATTATCTTTTAATTTTGTAGTCGTAAACATGTCACCTAGAAAATTAGAATTAAAGATTGATAAGACGGTAAAAATCATTTTTAAAAAAAACATACTTAAACATAAAATTAAACAAATTGAAACAGAGAGTAAAATTATTAGGCTCACCCAAAGCCACTGCTGAGAGTAAGGATTTGAGAAATTAAGAGGTGTTCAACATGTTTCATCTATTAATTGTTTGAAAGTAATTCCATCTTCCTTCAATGGGGAGGCAGCTACAATAGAGGCAGTATAGATAAGTCTCTTAACTGTCCCACTTTTAAGGCAAATCCTTCCAATTTTCTTCACTCCATCAACTGTTGCTTCTGTTCTGTCTTTATACTGTTTCATATATCAAGGTCAAAGTTACTTATAAAAGAAATAAAAATAAAAAGATATGGCTCATATTGTGTTAGACATAGTGTTAAAATCATGCTTATAATTATAAATCTTTGTGAATAAATAATTTTTAATTTATCAATTCTTTAACATGGTATCAAAGTTCATAGAATATTTAAAAGAAATATAAAAAAAATCAAAGAAAATTTTGATTGACTCTCGAAATTTCGAAGTCTCATATATTAAAACAAATACATATTATTATAAATCAATTTATTTGATGATGAAAAAAATAATACTAATTATAATGTCAATGCATAGAAATCAAACTCAATCCGAATTGGGGTAAGTGTCACGAATTTGAACTTGGAAAGTTAAGGTAAATCTTGAATGCCTAAATCACTACGCCAACCTCTAGTCTTGTATTCCATACCTGAGATCCTTGAGAATGCAATATATGTATGTAATATATTTTTTTATCAAAAAAGTTTGAACGAACACCCTCGCCCCCTTCTAAATCCGTCCCTCATAATTCCATACCTGAGATCCTTGAGAATGCAATAAAGGGGTAGCAACATGGAAAACAAATTCACAGCCTTGAATAGCTTTCTCAAATTCCTCTGCTCTATAAATGTCAGCTTCAAATAACTTTAATCTTTCATCTGCACCACTTAAGCTCTTCAACAGTCCCACTTTTGACTCATCCTCTACATTTAAATCAACTTAACAAATCATTTTAACAAAACATCCACACACTACAAAAACATGCGTGGAAAACAAATTTTCATTGAAACACTGGAAAAAAAAATGTGTAAAAGTCTTTTTTTTTTCTGTTCTCGTTGATTCGTTCAAAATATCTATGAAAATACCACTGAACATTTTAAAATAATTATTTTTTGAGGAATTCGAGCGACGTAACTTAGGAATAAAGGAAATTAAAAACATACCTAAGTTTCTTAGTGTAGCATGAACAATGTAACCTTTATCCAAAAGTTTTTTAACAAGAGAAGAACCTATGTACCCTGCACCTCCTGTAACACAAACTTTGTAAGTGCTTTTCTCCTCCATTTGTTGGGTCTTTTGCTTTATCTCTTCCTCCTCAGCCATTTCTATAATTGGGATATGATCTTTAAGTGATTGATAAATGGAGCTTGTGGGCTATATAAAACTAGGGGACCCCATATTTTGGTACTATATCTCTATATGGAAATTAAAATCTTAGGTATGTTGACATTGTAATGAAATATTTATAGTACCATGGTCCATGAATGAAACTTAACATGTGTTTATATCTCATTATTATGCTAAGTACCAAAAAATTGAGTATCACTATTCAAATTCATGATACTCTCCCTGTCTCTAATTACTTGTCAAATTTTCCTTTTTTTATATGTCCCTTTTTACTTGTCTATTTTGACAAATCAAGAAAGGACAATTTTTTTTACCTATTATAATTTCAGTTAATTAATTTTGAAAAAGATAAAACTTCTTGAATATCTTAAATTTTTAATCCATCCACTTCATAATTAATAGGGGTAAAATGGTTAACTCAATATGTCAATTATTGTTTTCTTAATAGGTGTGTCAATTCAAAAGTGGATAAATAATTAGGGACAGAGGGAGTATTAAAATTACAAAATATTAAAGTATATTCTATCTTGTCATGTCAACAGGAGCGGACCCATGTGGAGGTCAGGGGGTTCACCCGAACCTCCTCGTCGAAAAATTACATTGTATATATAAGGTCTATTTTTGATTTTATGTGTACATATATTAAAATGAACCCTCTCAAAACAAAAGAGAAGCATGGCTTAGCGGCAAAGGGGTTCAACTTTGAGTCTTTGACCGAGAATGTTTGGGGTTCAATTCTCACTTGTAACATTTTCCCACTTTTTTTTTTTTTTTTGCTTTGAAAGGATGAATGAGCTCTTGTTTTGGGCTCAAATCCAACTCAATGAAATGCCTCATTGTTTTTTGTTCAATGTAAAACTTTATTATTTTTGTTATCATTATTTTTATCTCTATGCTATTTTTTTTCTCAATTTATCTTTGTTTAAATTTATTAGACATATTTTAGATACTTTTGTCTACTAATCTTCTTATTTATACTTCTCATTTTATTTCTACATAAATCTTTTTCATGTACTAACGATGATTATTATAAAATTTGAAATTGATTTACAAAAAATATTATATAAAATAAATTAGATAAAAGTTAATCGAATGAAGAAATTTAAAAGTCGTGAATAATCTTTTAATAAAATCTAATTAATTGATTACCCCCCCCCCCCCCCTTTAATTTTATAGTATTTCTTTCTTCTTCTTTTTTCAGTTCGATTTTAAAAAGATGAAAACTAAACTAAACGTATTTGTTCTATTTATCATTTGTCTTTTTCACGAATGACTAACCTAGTAAATTGAATTAAATGAAATAAAAAATCGACGATGTCAATTATTTATCTTATGAATATTTATTATAATATCTTAGTGGTTGAATTAAAAAAAAAAAAAAAAGAGTAGAACACTGGAATATAAAAGAGAAAAAAAGCACAAGAAATATTTAAAAAAAAAGCTCGATGAAATAGGATAAAAGTAAAAAAAAAAACTTAACGCGGCATGACAAGGCAAGTTAAACTTATTGGATTCAGATTACTAGTTTCCTCCTATCTCACTCAGTTTTTCATCTTGTAATTTTTACATGTTTTCTTTTTTATATTTCAAACCCCCTTCACAGAAATCCTGGATCCGCCACTGCATGTCAATAATCATAAATTTACAAAAAACAATGGTGGTATAACTCATGTATTGATTTTTGGGATTGAGTTAGATCCAAAACTCATTTTTTATAAAATTTATATGAATCTTTTTTATTAACTACCTATGTGAAACTTTTTCATTCTTCAACAAATTCTTCTTCCCCTCTTGTTATGCATTGTTTCGAAAAATAAAACAAAGTGTCACATAGTGTGGTTTTCACCATTATTTGAGTTCGTTGAAACTCTGTAATTTAAAGTATCGCTATTACTGAATTATTTATTCCGTTCTATCCCGGAATTATTAATTAAGGATACGTACATAAAGATTACAACTTCAAATATGGAATTTTGACTTTCATCATGAGATGTTTATTCATTGTTACTATAAAATGTCATTCTTCCTTGCACAAATAACACAATCATCCAATATCTCCTTCATCCCATATTTGTACACAAAACCTTTCTCAACCAACTTTTTCGATCCACACTTGATTTCTCTCTTGGGATCATACAAGTACCTGGGAAAAACATATTCCCGGGGAAAATAATTAGTTACTTAAAATAAGGAAAATGACTTAGTTTAGTAGCATAAACAAGTCTCATAAACAACATTATAAGTTCATTGTCTCATCTCCACCTTCTAATGACCCTAACGCCCACCCCTTGACCACCCCAGCCATGTGGCATCCCACCCCATAATATAGTTTTAGGACAATATGTTTTTGCTTTTTTTACCAAAAAACACAAATAAATAAATAAGTAAGAACTACTTTTTTTCCTTAAGAACCCTTTCAAGAATTGGAAAACGTTTTCCATAGAACCAAACACAAGTCAAATTCTCCTTTAATTTGTGATTAATGCTATCAAATTATTTATTTTTTCTTATTTTGGCTTTCCACCTGATTCGATATTCGTATTGTAGTTAGACTAATAATTCAAATTCACGTATTGCAGGATTCATTTTTAGAGCACTCCCAACATGATATTTTCTCTACCAAGAGCTCAAACCCGAGACATATGATTAAATATGGAGAAACTTCAACCATCCCACCAGACCACAAGTCAGTAATCAGTAATAAGGTTGATATAATGTCTTACTCTTGGTTGACCTTAAACTCTGGATAATTGTGTTGATAGTAAGTGCCAATCTCTGCAGTAGAAACAAATGAGCTAGCACACAAGAAACGCCCATTGAGAGAACCAACATCAACAACATTATTCATGAAGAACAAATGAGCTTCACACACATCTTCAATATGCACAATTGGAACTTTTCCAATAAGTTCCTCTAAAAACTTGAGTGAATTGTAGAGAATCTCCTCTTGAGTTAACATTGACAAGAACATAGCACCACTTTTTGGGATATAAGGTAAGTAAGTGTTTCCACCTACAAGGCCACAACATAATGTAACCACTTCCAAACCTTCCTTCTCAAACTTCAACATCTCTTTCTCAGCTAGCATCTTTGACTCTACATAATCCTATAAATAATAAATAAATTACAAAATTTAAGTTTTATGCCATGTTTGTGAAAAGAACATGCAATGTCAATAATACACCTGAATTGTCACTTTTTTGCGAATTTCACACCCTAACTATTAGTTGTTCACTTTTTCTACCTGGATTATCAGTATTTGTATAAAACACACATTGAAGCTGACTAGGACAATAATTATCATTTGTTCTTTTTTCCGCCTAAACTATCACCATCTACTCAACTAGGTGTGTGTTGATACATATATAGATGAATTTAGGGGTGTACATGGCCGGGTTAGTTCGGATTTTTCAAATATCAAACCAAACTATTTGTGTCGGATTTTTAAATTTATAAACCAAACCAAACCAATAAAACTCAGATTTTTCAACCTCGGGTTTTTCGGATTTTTTTGGGTTTTTCCGATAAAGTATTCATACAAACATATAATTTACTTGTACTTCAAATATTTCTTTAGTCCTACCAAAATACAACTATCTAAGGTGTTTCTTAAGAAAATAACACAAAATATGATATGATTAATGACACTAAAATATCCAACAAAAAATAATAATGATGAAATCGCATAAAACAAATATTGCAAATTAACAAGTCATAATGAAAATGATCATAATTTAAAAGTACTAAATCATGCTAAAATAAGTTTAATAAGTATTAGTTACATGACTAAATATTAAAGGAAATTAAAATTAGATTATGTATTTTAATTGTCTAAACCAATTGAAAACTAAAGAACAAATATTCAATATTATTGTCATTCTTGGTGTTGAATTGATTTTCTTTTTGTATTAGTATTAATTTGATTTTGATTTAAGCTTTATTATAATTACCAACATCTATGGACTATAATCTTTATTGAACCATTCAGAATTCTAAGTTTCAAACTTGAAATAATATATTAAAAGATAAAAACTATGAAAAAGTATAAGAAATATTTAAAAATTATATCAAAGTGAAGATTTTTATGTATAAAATAAAATTTTAAAATTATATATATAATGTCGGGTTGGTTTTTTTAGTTAACACCAAACCAACCCAAATATAGTCGGGCTTTTTTTTTCAATACCAAACCAAGTCAAACCAAATCACTAGTCGGATTTTTTTTCGGTTTTCGATTCGGTATAATTGATAGTTAAAGACGTGAAACCCGAGAAAAAAATTATAAAAATTCAGATATATTTTTAACCATTAACTCTTATATATTTTATTAGTATTAACATAGAATAAATGGTAAGTCATCTAATATATTACTATAATATTAAGTATAAAACAAATGAAAAAATGGATTCAAAAGAGAAACATCAAGAAATTGGAGATTCATTGTATATCTCTTAGCATGACACAATGATATAAAAAGCTTTATTAATGCATCATATTTATAGGAGCATAAATGAAATACTTCCTCCATTTTAAGTTTTGAATTGGACATATAACTTAAGAAAATAAAGAAGATTTTTCAATTTTGTAATGTTAAATTAAAGATATGTCAAATGTATCAAAATAATTTTGTATCTTGTAATCTTAAACATGTCATGTGAACATTTGAAATTAAAGGTTGCTAAAACGAGAAAGAATCATTTTTAAAAAATAAATTTTAAAAAATCAAACAAATTGAAACGAAGAGATCAAAAACATTAAGCTCACCCAAAGCCACTGTTTGGTGTAAGGATTTGAGAAATTAAGAGGTGTCCAACATGTTTCATCCATTAATTGTTTGAAAGTAATTCTATCTTCCTTCAATGGGGAGGCAGCTACAACAGAAGCAGTATAGATAAGTCTCTTAACTCTCCCACTTTTAAGACAAATCATTCCAATTTTCTTCACTCCATCAACTGTTGCCTCTGTTATATCTTTGTACTGTTTCAAATAT